ACAGCACAGATTATGTTTTTATACCCTGTACCCAAAGGGTACAAGGGTATATTAGTTTTGTGCGAGTGTACATGTAACACACAGAAGGAGGCGTGGCAGACCCCACAAAGTATATATATTCTTGATCAGCATGACAAGCCGAGTCGATATAGCCATGTCCGTCTGTCTGTCCGTCTGTCTGTATGAACGCAAGGATCTCAGAAAGTATAAGAGCTAGAATAACTAAACTTGGGATCTAGATTCTCCTAAGCCCGAGAAAGGACGAGTTGGTTCATTTTCCCCGATGCACCCCCCCCCCCCACTCACCCCCTATTCGAGATTTTTTATAACTCCCGTAATTCTTAGAATTTTAAAATTTGGTAGACACATCCAGATAGTGATTATACTATATATCCGTGTACCAAGTTTCATTATGATAGGTTGATCAGAAAGAAGTTATAGCCATATTATCAGGCCCAATGCACACATACATACATATGTACAAATACACCAACACGAATAGAACAGATTCTGATGTAAATGTTTGTATGCATGTTGGAATATTTTATATTTAATTTAGTTAATTAATTAAATTAAGTTAATTAAATTAATTAAATTAAATAAGTTTACTTTTTTGTGGGGTGGTACAGGGTATTTAAGAGTTGACCCTGCCCGACTTTAGCATTCCTTTCTTCTTTTTTTTTTAGCCAAACAAGCGACTATCGGCCAGTCGGCCGACACACGATAGCCGCAGCAACAACAACGAAAACAACAACAGCAACGGCTTCGCCGGCTCACGCAATGATTGCCTTTGATAAGCAGCCAGTCTACCAGACAGCCAGCTAGCCAGCCAGCTAGTTCAGCTAGGCAGCTAGCTAGTTCAGCAAACACGTTAAACAACTCTTCAACACACCAAGTCTAAACTACTCGGCCAAAGTTCAATTGAAGCTATAGATAGGAATAGGCGGAGGGGTGGCGGAAGGCAGGAGGGACTGTGGTTGCACCAACTGAGGTTGCAGGGGCAAGAAAATAGTACAAAATAATTGAAGCCGCTGACCCTCAATCAAGAAACGATCACGAAAATAGAAAAGGAAATGCAGTTTTTCGACCACACCACACCAAAAATACTCTTCTAAATATGCGGGTTTTGTTTTGAGAAAACTTTGCATTCTAACAACCTTTTAAAAGCCCCTCTTACTAACTAAAATAGTAGAAATATATAAAAATAGGCTTCCAATACTTATACTATATTAATAATTGCTTATAGCATAAGTATATTTTACAATCAAAATACATTTTGAAAATAATATTTATACTTTTGTTTTAACTAAATACAATTAGTTTAATCCTTTGTTATCATATTATCAGTTTTCCAGAATCGCAAACTTGAACTTAGCTTTTACAAGTTTTATTATAAATTTGTTTAGTTCATTTATAGGCCTGCCAATTTTAGCCTGAAATTGTACCGTATTATTTTTTAAAACTAATTACAAATAATCTTTTTTGATGCATCCGATGAAATCGAAGCCAGTACATGCATTTAAGCTTTAGGAAACTTATTTGATTCTTGAAACAAATATACAAAAAGATGTACTATACAGGGCTAAATCGATTTGAAAGCAGTCGTTTGAATGAAGTTGAACAAATTATAATAAGTCCCTGCAGCTAAATTTGACGTTTTGATTGATCAAATTTCAATCCGAAGGTCCTGAACACACATTCTGCAAATGAATTCATAAAAGTAGCTTTTTAGTAAAAAAAAAAAAAAAGCATGGCCAATATTGAGAATGAATCTTTAGATACAGTATTTATTTTTCCGATCACCATTTATTTCAAATACTTAACGTATCAGAAATATTAAGAAGTCCATAATACCTCTTTGGGAAGGGTACTCAGAAGTAGAAACAGCACTGCAGAATTGGTGCACTTGGAGGGGGGCGTGTCATATGAGTTGATGACGCGAGTGGCAGACCATGGACCACTTTGGGGCCCATGTAGACAACGCTTGAAGCATTAGAATATGGCGATCGTTTTTTCCATTTTAGTTGATAAATATTTATTATTCATCAAACAACAAATACAAAATAAATAAAGGGGCTGACATTGTTATTGCTTTTGTCTGCTCAATCGATTTCTATACAAACGAGTCAAAAACGTGACTAAAGTATTTTTTATAAATTTATAGTTCTCTTTTCTCTTATTTTCTATTTCAAATCATGCCGCTTGTTGACAATACATTTTTATGAATTTATAATTTTCTTTTCTACAAGTATTCAAAATCATGCCGCTTGTTGACAATAAATGGGGCTTTACAAATGTTATAGACTACTTTGCAAATTAGCTATGCTAATGGCATATGGCATTTTTCTAGTTTAATATTAAATTAAGCAACAAATTTATTGAAATTTTCGGGGAGTGAATGAAAAAAGTGGGTAAAATGTTGTTTGAAAAATGTTTTTTAAAAAGCGGAAAAAAATGCAAAGACAGTAAGTAGAACTATTGGTTATTAGTTTTCAGCCAGATCTGGTAATATTTGCTATAAAATATTTATATAATTTTGAAGACCAATAATTTAAACAAAAAGTACAGCATTCAAAATGAAATATATCATCAACCTTCCTCAACAAATGTATTTTTAATGATCGGCTCAAATAGATGAACTTAAAATAAAAATTAAATAATCAAATGTTATTTATTCGCTAAGAAACCAGTTGTGATTTGTAGAATACAAAATAGAAGTCAGTCATTGCCATTATCGTTTAATAATTACTGCATATATGCGAACATATTACTACTCGTACATGTCTGAGTTCCAAGAACAAAATTATCATTTTCATATTCCAGTTGCAACTGGTTTGTAAGAGATACTATCAAAGTCAATACTCGTTCTTTGTGTTTTGCCTTTCCGTTGCGGAAATAATTGATTGCGCTTCACCTGCCATTTACCTAGAACACATTGTAATTCCACAGCTACGAGTATACTCGAATAGTGAGTCCGCCTCTTTGTTCCCCAGCCTCGTAAATGTGAAGTGTCATCGTGCACGTGCCGGGCAGGTGTTAAGAATTGCAGCAACCGAGCAGGTTAAGGAGACACCAAATGCAATGCTTTTGTTTATGAACCCTAACTTTACAGTCGTTTCTGAGAAATGCTTACCGGTTTCATTTAAGTATGTCAGCCCTCCAAAAGTCATAAAATGACTTTAAAATATTTGCAATTTGGTCATTGAACTCGCCAATAAAAAAGTGGCTAAATAAATGCTGCTATTGTTGTCGTACTTGGCAACCCATTGACCCAAAGATGTTTGTCAACTATTATTGTTTAAAGCAGTAGAGTTTGTAGCTAAATTTTGAATATTTTGTATTGTAGAAATGCTTGAAAAGTAGTTGAGCACTGCAATAAACAATTTTTTAGGTATGTATGTATGTATATACAAATTAGTATTTATCTTCATACTCTTATATATATTTTTATCTGCAAAAATAACAAATTTTGATGTTGAAGCCTCCCAAAATTCGAGGCCCAATAACGGAGAATCGGAGTGTAGGAGAGGTGTAAGTATAGAAGAATGCTTATCAAGCACAATTACTGAAACGATAACAAATCCTAAAAAGCGATAAGCTGTATCATCCAAAGATGATAAAGTAAATATCTAAATATCTGTTAACCAGTTACTTTTACAAAGCATTTGAAAAATTTCCGCTACACAACTTTTTGATCAAAAAAATAAAAGAAACTGGGAAATATCTCTCATTCACATTTTGTACCGGCAGCTTATTGAATATGTAAGCTCACATAATTTAATTAAAATAATTTTAGGTATACAAGATCTTTGGTAGACTACATTTAAAGATTCATAGAAACACCCAAAGCATTATTTCGAAATATCTTTACACAAATTTATATTACAACTGTTTAAGCCGAATAATTTTAGGTTTATAAAATACTTGATAAATAGAATAAGTAAATAAATAATATGATATAATAAATATGATAGAAAAAGTAGATAGCTCCATTTCCACTGATATATTTATAGGCTCGATTTCACTAGAGCTAATAAATTATATTAAGAATATTTGGTCCGTCTCGGATGAAAGGAAATACTATTATATAGGCATTGAACAATAATTTCCAAAATGTAAAACAGCTAGTTTAATAAGTGTTTCAAAATAACTTCATACAAAATTTGGTGAGTTGAAGATAATTTACAAACATAGACATTTCGTCTAATATTTAAATAAAAAATTTAAAAAAAGTATTTAAATAACTGGTTTCATTTAAATAAATGAGCTATGAACTATGAACTTTTACAGCCGTTTTAACTCTTTCCCTTCCATTTAATGGCCAACTTTAAACACACGCCCAGAAAGCACACCCGCGACGATAGTGTCGGACAACCCGAGGGGTGCAACGAACGAGAGAGGGAAGAGAGAAATGAAGAGTAATATTTTTGTAAAGTTGTGTAGACGACCAAGGTCTGGCATTAAACATTTTTATGTGCGCTCTGCGGATTCTACACATTTATTTGCACTTCGTTCCAACATGCGCCACTTTAGCGATGGACAATGGCAATAACAACAAACACACGCCAGAACATAATACTATATAACGAAATGTGTTGGCGCCAAATAAAACGTGCTGTGGTTTCCCCTCGCCCCCCTCCTCACCTACACCCATTCCTCCTGGTTATTGTTGTTGATGTTGCGGTACAGAAAGAACAAAGACTAGGAAGAATAAACTATTCAAGAAGTAAAGCAATTGAAAGAGAAAATGCATGAATAGGAAGCGTTAAAGCAGCTGCAGTTTGCAACAAATTAATAATATACTATATATAATCTATACATACATATGTATTTGTTTATTTTTAACAAGAGGCACACTTACACACAAATATACATATGTATATGCACATAAAATTTAGTCTGCCACAGTTGTTGTTATGCCAGTTGGTTGCATAAAAATTTGTTAATTGCTATTTTAATGGGGAGCGACACATTCGAATATCGAAAAACTTTCCGCTCACCAAGAAATTTGCAATAAGAGCCGTCTATTGTTGTTGTTGTTGTTGCTGTTGCTGCTGGTGTTGTTATTGCACTTCAATTGTCGTCAATTAATTGATGCTGCTGCTGCACTGCACTTGAGCAATTAATGAAGCGCACATTTTGCTCGCCAATTCTATTCAACTTTTTGTTACCACACCACAAAACTATGAAATGTTTATTTTGGCAAATATTGAAATTTATATTTATTATTTTTTATTTCATTTTATAATTTTCTGTCACTAACAGATGCAGCGGCACTCATTTTTGTTTATATTATTTCAATATACATACATACTATACCAAGTATATATAGTCGTATTCGGGTCTTGTCTGCTGCGCGAGCGCTGTCGTGCGACTGTTTCACATGCTCCTCAGGTATTCGAATATCGGCCATGACTTTGGGCAACGAAAATAAATGAAATACAATAAAATGAAATGAAATGAAACACATACATAAAATAGAAAACATATTGAAACACACACACAACATACAAGAAATAAAAGCAATGAATAAAAACAAACAGCGCAAAAACAAGAAGAAACAAAACAAAACTGTTCCTTGTTCAGATTTGATTTTCCTCCACTGCCGGATTCGCTTTGCTTTTGTTTTTGCAGCTCAGCTGTTGCTTTTTGTCTTTTCTGCACACAATAGCGCTCTTGTTGTTGTTTGTATTGTTGTTGAGTGCATTTGGTGCATACCGTAGAGGGGCCCCACTGCGCCAGCCCGGTCAGTATAAACCGGTTCTGAACGCCCAGCTCATCACTCTTAAGGGAATTTCTTATACTTTTGGGTTGACAATTGTTATCATATGAGTAGTTGCTGCTTTTATTGGCATGTTGCCAACAGCTAATAGGGCGAAGTGACATAAATGTGGACATATAGTACTACGAGTATATGTAGCTATAATTACATAAATGTACATAAGTGGGTCAGATATATAAATATACATTCAAGAGTGGGTCACATATGTATCTCAAGGACCATGGGGCTTTAACAAAAATGAATATATTCCCAAATTATTACAGCTAACATCAGAAGTTGTAGAAGAATTAAATGAATAGAAAGTAAAAATGCATTGTCACATCTATGTATCTACTGCTTTTATGTGCCAATATTTCTATTTATAAGTATCCGCATTCCGCACTCATTGGAAATAGAAAAATTAAATTTCGGCAAAAATTTTATTTTCTTGTGCTTGTATACCTGAAGATTCGAAAATATGGGAAAATTGCTGTCTAACAGTAACTTCTTCTTATTATTAGGTTTGCCTTGCATGTTTCCAAATTATTTTCCAAATATTTTTATATTCTGCACAGTTTCAATTTATTAGTTTATTACGAAAATTTCATAAATTAGAGTGAAAACTATTTTTGTTTTAGATAAATATACCCCTTTCTCAAAGCTTTCAGTATGCCATAATATTATTTTAATATATCAAGTCCGATATCTGAAAAACAACATAAGTAATTAAAGTATTAAATTTTATTTTCCTGGCCAGCCTTGCTTCTACACTCTTCTTCTACGGTACATTATCAGGAAATATGCTGCTGCTTTAACCCTAAATAACCCCAAGGAATCAATTGCGCACAATCGTTTCTTTTTTTCTCAAGACGCTTTGCCTTCTCAGGGAGAATTTCAAAAGAAAATGAGTCGCAATAACTTGATCCTCTTTGAAGTCTGGCAATAGAATTAAAGTAAAATTAGCTGCAAATCCATTACGACCCAACTTCCAATTGAATAGCCTGCTTGTTGCATCAACAACAACAATGGCACTACAACAACCCCCTTTTGTGTGATGCGTCAAGTTGGAAACTGCATCAATAAAAGAGGAAATGTGCCGCAGTATTAATAAAGAAAATCTTGCTGCATCACGAAGCCGGGCGAAGAATGAACATGCAAACGAAAAGGGATGGAAAATCGAATCAAATATACACACATACTCATATATATAATAAATCAAATTAATGCTGATTTCTGATTTTCATTTGCGTTGATTCATCGCAATAACCAATCTGAACCGGTTTAATGTGCTTTAGCATTTTAGTTTTTCTATGCAAATATATATTTTTTGTTCTACATATTACATGTGAAATCAAATGTAAATGTCAAATATTGTCTATGTATGGAAATTAGTGGCATTGGAATCAGCCGCCTTAATCTAACTGTAGGAACAGCTACTATTATTTCAAGGGTAGGGTACCTACAGTCGACATCACAAGTACTTCATAAAATACATATACATACATATGTACTATATATGTTTTCTGTTTATTATGTGCCTTCGATTTCAGCTCGAACAATTCTCTTATTCCGTTCTCGATTTCTCTTTCTCTTCCCACCAACGAGTTCCGATAATGGCGACGACCTTCCCCGTCATTTCGCCAACTTAATTTGTTGTCTTTATTTTTTGACAGCTTTTTTCTGGCCTCACTCTTTTGCTGATTCTTTGGCAGCTCCTTCTGATTACTCATTTGTTGATTCGGGCACTTGTCGCCTGCGCTTAATTAAATTTTGCATGCTATGTTGTTTTCTCCCTCTCAACACTTCTTATAGTTATATTATGTCTGCATATCTGTGTGTATATATGTACATATGTATGTATGTATATTCGTCGGGGTGCGTCAATGATCAAGATCAATGGTAAAGTCTTACCGAATATGTAAACAAACATACCGATCTACTTATGTATGTATTTATGCATATTTAACAAAATTTGTATAATGTGCCGCAGACACATTTAAATTATTTATTTCTTTTGTTTTCTTTTTTTTTTGTGAAATTCAGTAACAACTCTTGGCATTTAAAAACTTTCCTATATATGTATTCGTAGATATATATATGTTTATACATATTTCGAGCAATATCTATACTCGTATATAGTACATGTAGTCTATATGTCTGTAAATGCCTATGTGCAAATTTGTTTTGCAATTTTTTGTGACTACTTATTTGCATGGGCGTTTTAGAGACTCATTTATTTTTCATTGCCTTTCACATAGCAACAAGTATTGTAGTTTCTATGTGAACTAAAAAAAGATAGCTTGTGAACAGATAATATATATCAAAACATATTAATGCCGTCTCTTTGATTATTTAATTACAAAAGTTGTGTGAATTGAATAAATAAATGAATGCTAAAAACATTGGCAGAAATTATTACTTCATAGTTTCAACCAGACCCAATTATTGGATTTAAATGCGATTAGTGATATTTAATTGCATTTCAATTAATTTCACTGAAGATTTTAAACGCACTCTTTAGACTGGACCTTCGATAATCCAGAAAAACCAAGCCATCAAGACGACTCTTGAATCGTAAATATATGCAAGTATATATAATTAACACAATAGAAACTTCTGCCGAGCTTCAAAACGTACTAAATACTTACCCTTTGTTCGTCTGAAGCAAATGTAAAATTGTACTGATAGTCTATAGGAGAAAATACTCTATTCTTGAAGTCCTGTTTACTTTCTTCTACACCTTGTACACAACAGATCAATTCTCTTTGAAAGTAATATATATAAATATAATATATAATAAATGCAATCCTCAAAAGCTAGATTTGTGCTAACACTATTTGCTTTGAAGTCATCAATATGCCCATTTTCAAATATCTATCTCGTTTTAGAGCGCTTCTAACAACCAACGATGCAATATAGTTAAAAATATAAATATATATAAATATAAGAATGTAGGAGAATAGTGATTCAAATGTGGATCACACTACACAACTCATAACAGGTTCTCAGGAGCAGAAATCTTCATTTGCTGGCCAACACTTCAACTTAATGCATCCTGGTCCATTTGTGAGGATTTTAATGGAAGCTATATGTATCTATCTGTTCGTAAAGCATCGATGAAAATTAATCCCAGAGCACACAAGCAAAGAATTTAACCAAAACACCAACAAACTGTCACGAATATATATTCAAACATTTAGTAAATAAAAGAATCCCACACTGCAAATTATTTTATTTATAGCTTGAAAAAAAACAGCGCTCAACAATTAGTAACCCACTCGTTTGTGCGTCTAACTTAACACTGCAAAATAATTCATTACTTTAAATTCTCAAATAAAGAATAGAATATTTCCACCAGGGCTTATCCTTCTAAAGACTTCGTCACATAAAAATGCATTAAACTAAGAAAAAAGCAAATGAAAGAATCTCATGCCACACACTTAGTTTTATTTAGCTTTGAAGAATAAACAAAACAATTAGTAACCCATTTGTGCATTTTACTTAACATTGAAATTTAAACTCAATGCAAAACTAAAAATACACACATAGTTTGTATGTATGTGTGTGTGTGTAAGTCACTCGTACAAGGTTCGAACCACAGAGCCAATTAATGAAATGTGTCAGCATTCGTTTTATTTAATTTCCTTTTGCTTGAAATATATTTAAATGCGACAGACTTAGTACGTCAATTATACTCGTGTGTCGCAATAACTTAAGAGACAGCTAATGGGCAAAAACATATCAAAAGGTATTATTAACAACATAAATAAATGCAGTAAGACGGCGACTGAGGCTCACGAGCTGCATTTTATGGCACCTGCTTGTCTATCAACAATTTCAAAACACGCCAAAGAAAAAATATCTACCTGATAAGAATTCCAATTTGAATGTTTAGGGTCTGAGGCTTATCAATTTTGTTCAGCGGAAATTATAACATTTTAATTGCCCATTGGTTAGACATTGTTTGAAGCTATTAAATTACAACTGAATGTTGCCAAGGGTAAAGAAAATTGTAAGCAATTACCGAGACAAAAGGAAGCAATTGAAGCTTGCAATAAAAATCAACCCGTAAGCATTTATCATTAAATGCTGCTAAATCTTTGTAAATGAAATGAATCTGCAGAAGGGGGACTATGATTAATTTCCTTAAGAATCTCTTTAAATGCTGCTCATGAAACAAATTTTAAAGGTAAGCTCTGAATTGCTGTGCGAATAGCTTGGAAAATTCCCAGTCTTCGCAGCTCAATTCCAAATCAAATGGGATTGGCATTTGCTTTTGCGCAATTTCGTAACTTAAATTCGGTTTATGCGCATGCTAATTCAAAACAAAAACTCGAAAGTGATTTAGCAATCCCATAACTTTAATTACGACTTCAATCAAAACATTCACATGACGCACATAATCCAATTTTTCCATGCGCCGACCGAACATTTAAACCGGACACTTTCTCTACGGCTCGTCGTACGCTTCATGAAATTAATCAAATTAGAAGTGTATAAATCATATCACAAACACGATACAAGAAGTGCAAATTACAAATGTC